CATCTCCTCCAGAGGGACTAAGGAGCCGGTGCTGCAGATCCTCTTCCTTGTGCTGGAATTCTGGCCAGCGCACAGGACACGCACCTCCGATGGGGATGAGAGCGATGTCTTTGCCCTGGCTGTGAGTTTATTGAGCTGGCCTCTGCTCACCCCCAGCTTGCCTCTGGGATACCTTTTCATCCTCCCTCACCACTGCTTCTCCCTGCCCCAGGCACTGGGCTGCAACCCTGGCTTAGGGGCAAGTTCTGGGCCACCAGGCCGGGGGATCCCCCTGTGTCTCCCCTGGCCTCTCCCTGCCACGCTGGGGCCCTGCCACATGGACATCTGGGCCATGAGAGCTGTCTCTGGGTGCTTTGTCTTTGGCAGGCAACTGTGGCACTCTGGGAGATCCTCCAGCTGAACTGGTGCCCAGGTGGCGTGAAGAACAATCTCCCCCGCCTCCTTCTGACTCTGCTCTTCCAAGTTTTCATCAGCACAGAGGAGATGTCAGAGGAGGTCGAGACCTTCTGGGGGCGATGCCGGGAGCAGCGCAGCCTTCCCCCCAACCCCAACAGGTGCTCCATCCCAGTCCTCTCTCCCTGCCACGCCCTCGGGGCTGGGGCCAGGGCTCTGCGCCTGTCCTGGGCTGTGCTCTGCACACAGGTTTGCAGTGCAGACCGTGAAAGCCCTGCTGCGCCGGCTGCTGGATGAGGACGTGTTGATGGTGATCCATCGCAAGTGTGGCTGGGACATGCTCCTCAAGGCTGACACCCACCACTATGCAGTGGGTCTGCTGGCCAGGTGAGAGCCCTTTCTCCCCACTGCCCCCGTCATTTCTGCCCTGTGCACAGGCCACCCCACACAGTGCCCGTGCTGCTGGGCCAGAGGGCCTTGGCAGCCAGGGATGACTGAGCAGAGTGGAAAAGGCGGAGAGGGGCGGCTGCACAGGAGGAGCCACCTCCCAAAGCGCCCGTGTGCCCTCCCGGGCTGATGGCCAAAGACCAGGCCTGTGTGAGTCAGTCCCAGGAGAGCTTTGCCCACCTGGCTCAGGGTCTCTGGCACCTTTATTCCCCCTTGCAGGGAGCTGTGCCATGTCTCCCGCTCCTTCTGCCGCAGCATCGCCATCAGCCTGCTCCCGCGGCTCAGCAGGGAAGAGCCCCTGTGGGAACTGCCTGCCCTGGCGTTCCTGGTGGAGGTGAGCCTGATGGCGAGCGCTGCCTGGCCCAGCTGCCTCCCCCTCTCTGCCCTCTCACAGCTGCAACCGCCTGGGACGGTGCCTGCACCCTGTGCTGCTGCCTGGGCCCAGCCCCAGGCGGGTCCCGGCTCCTGCCGGCTGGGCACCCCGTCACTGCTCCCTGCCTTTCAGGTGCTGCACTGCCTGAACCCCAGACAATGTGGGCTCAGCGTCCTGCAGATTATTTCAAGGCGCCTGCGCAGGGAGTGCCCCGAGAGGCGTCACCTGGCACTCCGAGGCCTGGTGGTGATCAGCAAGGCTCCCGCACTGGTGAGCAGGGGGCAGGGGCTGAAGCCGGGCCGGCAGCGTGCGGCTGTGCAAGGCAGTAGCTTGGCCTTGGCTGGCCTTTGACAGCTGTGGCAGCTGCTCCCAGCTCTCCTCCTCCCCGTTTAGCTGCCCGACTCCTTTGGGACGCGCCTTTGGCCTCTGGGCCCCGCGGCAGCAGCGTGGGGCTGCACCACAGCATTGTGTTCCACACAGGCTAAGAGCATCTGGAGCCTGAATGAAAGCCTCCTGGAGCTACTGCAGGATGCAGACAGAGACGTGGTTCAGATGACCCTCTCTGCGTTCATCAACGTGCTCCACTTGAAGACCATCCAAATATCCAGCCCCACTGCCCTGAAGTTGCTTGAGGCGCTGCGGCTCTGTGTCCCTCATCGTGGGCACTGAGTGCTGCCAGGAAACTTTGGGCCCAGTGTCTTTTCAGGCCTGTGCCCCGGTGGGCCTGGAGAAGCCAGGGCTGAGGTCTTTTGCTCTTCCTTTGCAGCAGGAGCACAGCCAGCTGCAGCAGCTCTCCATGGTCCTCTTCCGGGAGGTGATGGAAGTGACAGAGAGGAGCAAGAGCCTAAAGCCACACGTCTACCTGAGGCTGGTGCCATTCTACTTCAACTGGCATGATGAGAACCAGCGTGTGGCAGAGGTGAGGACTCGTGGGCTCTGGTGTCCCCATGGCAGGAGGCTGCTGTGCCTCCTGCCCTGGCCCACGGTCACCTGCAGCCTCCTCCTGTCCTTGGTGCAGGGATGCGGGTGCTGTGCCCTGGGCTGCGGTGCCATGGCCCACTCTCTGTTGCTCTGCAGGCCTCTCGAGAAGCACTGTTTGGTGCAGCCAGGTTCCTGAAGTGGAGGGGTCTTGAGCACCTGGTGACCATGGAGCAGCCCTGGAGGTTTGGCGAGTGCCTGGTAAGG